TAGCACTAGTGCTGTGCATGCAGCATGCTTGTTGCAGGGTAGAACCAGGCTTGCCTTGCTGCTCAGCCACAGGCTTCTGCTGCTGGGTCCTGTTGCTGCTGGCTCCCCATCATCTTTGACAGGCAGTGAAGGGCAGATAAAAAAATTAATTTGCTAAATTTTTTAAGGCCTTGCTGGCCAGATAGAATAAGTCAGCAAGCCAGATTTGGTCCACAGGCCGTATTTTGCCCACCCTGTTATAGACCCTGGGGCCAGGAGCCCAGTGCTTGGAAAGCATCTTGGCTGGCTCCAGGTTTGGTCAGCGGATCCTCAGCCAACCCACAGCAACTAAAATAAGAGGGAGCAGGTGTGGCAGTACACCCAACCCAGCATGCTCAGCAGTGCCCCTTCAGAGTCGCAGCCATCCACCCAACTCACACAGCAAAAGTTGGGAGGAAAGAATTCTTTGTTAGCAATTCAAGCCTCTACCTTACAATAACATAGAGAACTGGTATACCCGCCACCACTCAAAACAACACACACAACAACAAAACCCAAAAAACAAAACAAAATACAAAATAATGGGGATGTGTTATTCTAAGATAAGAAACAAGCAGGGAGGGAACAGAAACAAGCAAGTCACAACTCACTTATTTACCCAACAAAAAATGCAATACTGGCTCCTTCTATTTTTCACCATAAGACATGTATGTGGTTTATAAAAAACACAAAGAAAATGCCACGAAAATTTCACTACCAAAGGCAAAAATCAAGCCCAAGTTAGACTTATTTTTCTCTTCAGCCCCTATACACCAAATCATATTGCATGTATTTGGCTGGAATAGTCTTTTAAGATCTTCAGGGCAAGACCAGTCATCATGGAAAAAATAGAATATTAGCAATTTTTGCCAGGATTTTAACTAGCATCATTTTGGTCTTTGAGAAATAAAGCACATATTTTTGGCTTTTTGTTGGTCATATTTTGACTAAGAACACTAAAAACTGCCAATATATCACAATACAAATCTCCATATATGTTGCAGTATTACTGTTAGAATATCTTGCACTTTGAGCCATGTGGTTCAACTGGTTTGCATATGTCAACTGCAATTCATATGAAACTTCTTTCACACAAATATAACCCAAAACTTTTGAGAATGAGCAAAAGCTGTGTTGTTCTCCACGACCCATTCACTATCATCATCAAGTACACAGTCAGTTGAGTAAAATCAGTAATGAAGGGGAATGTGTAAGCTAACGGCTGATGTAGTACAGTAGGAATATTGCACCGGAGAAGGACTTTGTCAGAGATTGCCATTTGGAGCCGTTGTAACACAACTGTTGCCAAGCCAACGTTAATTGGTTTGCAGAGCAGGTGCAAACAAACCTCCCTGATCTCTTCTTGCTGGTCCAATGTACAAGTTATCGCTACAGTTAGCCTCAGCAAGGTATAACTGCAAAATGGAGGATGATTTTGTGCTCAACTTCAGGTAATAATAAAATCAACATTAGGTATCGAAGAATCATGTATGATGTAACTCTTAGAGTAGACACCATACATACACACAAAACAACTTTAGCCTAATGGTTGCAAAGGGAAGCAAACAAACAAGATACAGTACAAAGGAGGAATCAGCTACCTTCAATGCTTTGTGGACCCACTAGATTCATAGCCTGATGTGCTGGATATTCTACTCGGGGTCTGGCAATGCCCAACTGTTCCATAACCCCGTGAAGGAGCCTCTGAATATCTGCCTCAGAAACCCTATCAGCGGTCCTGGAGTTATGACTTGAAGCCAAAGCCGATCCAAATGCCACCAAAAATACCATGTTATAGAGCATCATGGTTGTCATTCTGGTGGCCATTTCTAACCTGTAAAAACAAAAGAAATAAATGATAAAGGAAGGAAAATACAGCATGAATATTTGAAACAAACATGTCTGATCTTATTATGGCTTCCAACTTCAGCTAGAAAGTGCTTTACCAGAAATGATGCATTTAGGACAGCAGAAGAGACAGCAGGAACCAGTGAATTCTCTGCATAGTGTTTATTCATAATATTTACTGCCTTCATGAAACAAAATGGTCCCTCTCAAAAGCCCTAGAGAAGCATCAAACCAGCGAGAGAAGATTCTCATGCCTGGCGTTCCCCCCCTCCCCTACTTAGTATTTTGAGGTGCTTTATAACGCCTAAGGAGGAACACAAAGAGCCGTGCTCCGCTTTTCAAATGTCCCTTTGGGCTTATCCCACAAAAGGCTGCGCTTCCCATCAGTGAGGGGCCTTCACGGCCTGGTTTCTAGCTGGACTGGCAGCCTCCGCACCGTCTCCACGCACCATTTTTCCCTAACGAGAACAAACGCGCTTCATTTGCTCCCCTCAGCTCCATCCCTCCACACGGCCGCTGCGTCTCAACCAGGCGCACAACAGCACTTGTCATTTCCTCGCTGGGGCTGGGGTTAAGCAGCCCCTTTATCCTCCGGAGAGAGGAATGCGGGTCCATTAGCACTGGGGGTGGGGGTGGAGATCCCAATGCCCCTCGGGATCAAGCCCCCCGGCCCCTGTCTGAAGGCAGGGGCGGGGCAGAGACCCGTTGCGGCCTTTGCGGTCATTTCTCCCGCGCCCCTCAGGAGCCTGGCCTGGAGGCGATCCCGCCTGGAAACCTCCGTGCGCGGCACGTCCCCGCGGAGCTCCCCGGGGAGTCCGGCCTGCGGCCCCCCGACCCGGGCAGCACCACTCACCGCGGGGCCGAGACGCGGACGAGCCCGAGGAGGCAGCGGCGGCGGGCTGGAGTCATCCACTCGCCGTCACAGCCCCGCCCCCCGCCCGCAGGTGCCGCTGCAGAGCCTCCCCCGCAGCTGTCCTAGCGACCGCGGAGCAGATGGGAGGAAGAGGCCGCAGGCTGCTTCCTTCGTGACACGTTCACAGAAAGGAGGGGAGCCCGCTCCCGCCGCTTCAATTCGTCCGTCAGCATTTCGGTATTAAACTCGAAACCTTCCTCGTCTTCTCTGCCACATGCAGGGCGAACACAGGCCTGAACTGCTCCCCGCGGGAGGTGGGGTTTGCTCACAGGGAGGCTGCACCATCCTTGTTGGTGCAGCCTCCCTGTTTCACTGGCTGTATACTCAGCTGTATAGTTGTATCCTATACATGGGCCACACATAGGAGGGACAGGGGAGGACACGTGCCCCCCTGAGATTGGCTGCCGCCAGTGTCTGCAGGTGGTGGCCACCTCTCCACTGTCTGAAACCACCTGGGGGTGGTCCCCGCTCAGCCCACCCTCACTGCCAACGTCACCAGGTCTGCTTGCGGACAGTCCCCACTCGCCACTGCCACGCCACCACCTGTGGGCAGTCACCATGTGCCCCAGCCTCAGGAGGCATGAATTGTTCATGATCCTATACAACTGTGAGACCACAAAATTAAGCTCACAGAGTACCAGATACAGAAGATACTGACCCTCAACTATGAGGGAATTAAGAACGTCCCCTAAAAACATCTGTGAGATCAAGATTTCAGGCTTCATCCCCTCCCTACAGACCAATTCTGTGGACTATTTGATGTCTCCAAAGCATGAAGGGACAATTTGGCTCCATATTGGTTAGCAGATTGGAGCTGGCATTGGGGCTGCATGTCATTATGTAGGTGGCAAGAAGTACAATTTTACATCACACAGCCCGAGCTGGTTAAGGATTTATATGGCTAATTCTCCATACAGAATTAGGAACCAAGGCGAAGGCAAACATTTATTCACAATAAGTAGAGGAGGGGGACCCCACCCCCCACAGCCTTTTGATAAGGTACTGTTTTCTTAATTACTTTTCCAAGGGAAGCTTCCAAGTCTGCCACTTGATTTAAATCCTACATGAACAAAATAAATCAGGCTCCAATCAGTCTTTTCTACAGCCACTTTGTGTGATTCCCTGGCACTGTGTGTAATGATTTGATAGCATTAAAATCTGTTCAAAGATTTTGAAAGAATCATAGAAAGCTAGGGTTGGAAGGGACCACAGGAGACCATTTAGTCCAGCCCCCTGCTCAAAGGAGGATCACATCCCAGCTCGATCATCCCAGCCAAAGCTTTGTCAAGCCTACTTAAAACTTCCAAGAATGGAGCTTCCACCACCTCTGTACAACTTGCTCCAGTGTTTTATTACCCTCCTAGTGAGAAAATTCTTCCTAATATCTAACATAACTTCCCTTGCTGCAACTTAAGGCTGTTGCTCCTTGTTCTGTCATCTGCCACCACTGAGAACAGTCTAGCTCTATCCTCTTTCAAACCCCACTTCAGGTAGTTGAAGGCTGTTATTAAATCCCCTCTCAGTCTTCTCTTCTCTAGCCTAAATAAGTTTAGTTCCCTCAGCCTCTCCTCATAAATCATGTCCTCCAGTCTCCTCACATTTTTGTTGCACTCCACTGGATTCTCCAATTTGTCCACATCCTCTCTCTAATG